GAATGAGAAAGGGACGGCGTTTATGTATTATAAACGTTAGGTCACATCCTTACGATATAAGTTGATGTGAGCGACTGAAGAGTGAGGGCCTCGCTGTGCGGGCTTACAGAAATGCTGACTATGGGTCACTCCCTCCTGGGAGAGTTGCCCGCTCACGTGTCCAACTCATGTCTTACTCATAGACAGTGGAAAGTTACAGGGTGGTGAATCTGAATATAATATCAGATGTATTGACCCATTTATATAATATGTTTTGTTGATGAGACAAGGGCCCATTACACATATGGGATTAATTGAAATAGAGACCGGGCCGACCCCCAAACTCCACTTTTTCAGACACAATACCTACGTTGTAGTAAAAATAACTTCTTAATTTTATGATGATATGCACACACAATTAATAATTAAGAGAAATATCGATAATATTAGGTTTTTAACACTTACATCAGTAGAAAAGATGGCTGGGCACACGGGGATGGGGGGTTGGTTCCGAGGCAGAGGGCAGATTATTGGCCCTCACCTGTATCACTTGTATCAATTGTATCACTATCCACCACAGAGGCTTGCAGGGCCTCTTTGTCAAACCTCTCAAAGTCCATATAAGTCCATATCCTCACTATCATTATCACTATCACTATCACTGACTTGGGCCGGCTGTGGTGGGTGAAAGGTGAAGAACTCAGGAATGTTTTGATGACTGGGCGACCTTGTGTGCACCCTGCTTGCGCCGCTCTCCGCGTAAAAGGGTACACACACCGCGGAAAGTGAGCTTTCCGGTTTCGGTAGGGTACTGCGCAAACGTGGAAACGCGTAAAGTGGGGGTTTACTGTATATTATCCTTGCGGAGGTGAGTATTTCAGCAATTAGAACACAAATTCGTGGAGCATCCCTTTGTGTGTTTTATAGCTGAATCGCCAGGCAAGAGATGAGCTTCGCAGAGCGCATGGAGGCTGTATACTGCCAGATTCTGGGGTCACTAAGTCTAAGGGGATAACTTAACTCTCATCTTAATTTCTAAGGGTCGCTGCCACCAGACCCCCTCTGGACAGCATGTAGCTCGTTAGGTAGCGTGCAGAGTGGACTAGGCATTGGGTTAGGTTTTCCATTGACCAGATCGATAAGGGTAAAGAAGGGTGAAACCATAACATGTCTTAATTGATTTATTCCTTATAAAACATACTGGTAAAATACATATACATGAATTGGCCTTCCTCAGAAGAACAACGAAAATGTGGTTACCCAGATGGGCCCCAGACTCTTACATTGATGGCGTGTCATCCACCTACTTATTGCATAACAATCTGTGACCACCTTACCTCGGTCATTCCTTCTTACACTATCCCTTAACACATCAGACTGCTCCACCTGTATGGAATATAGCACCGTCGGTTATCATACATAGTAGCACCATCTCAACACACCTGTTACACTCCATACCTGCAAGTATGGGACTCCTTGTGACTTTTAGGTATACACAACAGGCACCTCGTTCGCACACCGCCCTCGGTGGGTAAAGACGAGGGCTTCACCTAGAGACATACCAGCACTATTTCTACGCCTGGTATTATAGGTTGCTCCAAGTGACGACCGCAGAGTTTCTCACGGTCTCCTTATTTGTGACTATTCATTTGGAGTGGTGCGCTGGAAATCCACAGGTTCACAGTGGATTGGCATAGCGGGGAGTAGTCACCACCTGTTGTGACGCTCAAAGGGATAATGGCGGCCGGGCGGCAAGGCACTCCGACCGCATGGAACCTGAGGTGACGGTAGAACGAGGAAAACTCAGAAATAATGCCTGACGGGCGGTTATCCCACCCCTTAACACATTCCTATTACACTTATATATCCGGCAAAGCTTTAAACTGTAAGGACTTCTATGTATAAACCTTAATTATAGGGCGTGATATAGCCCGCTAGGACACTGACCTGAGGTGACGGTAGAACGAGGAAGACTGAGGGCATTGCCCCGCCGCTCCTCATCACGTAGGCCTACAGTTTCCAATCCTTAATTTTCACTTTTGTTTCTTATGGTTCTCACCTGAACACTTTTCGGTATATTGTCAATCATGCCTTATAAACACATATTTTAATCCTAAATTACACACTAAGGTAAGGTCTTGGTTTGCTAGATCGTGGGAAAATTCATGGGGTTATAATATCACGTGGCACCCAAGGCGGGTACATGACACACCTTGAAACAAAGGCTGAATGTTCATGGCGGGGGTGTATCAACTTCACTTAAAACTGTAATGAGGGATCCTCCTCTCACACCTTGCACTATTTGAATACAGACATAAGATTCTCTGATCACTGTACCTGTCGTGGGTATATGTCACATGAGGATACGAGGTGTATTAAGTTCATAACGACGCATACAAGATATTTCCTTTCAAGTATAGTTTCTGGATCACTTCCAACACCTCACATAGTTCTGATACATTTATCTTTTTTCCAGATCATTGTTCTCATGTATTTTCATATGATATCTGTGGAAGTTATGTTCGCTACACGCTCACAGACGTAAATAGTATGACCTTCAAACCCTGATCCACACTTAGTCTTACAGTACACTAGTCCGGCTCAACTGGACTTTAACATTCATCTTATGCATACCCTGAGTTCTCCTTAATGCTATGAATACATACACTTAATATGATATAACTGTACCTGGGTACAATACAACACATGGTCTAGGAACATTGAGTAGGTGAGTTGTCCTTTATCAATGTTTCCCGTTTTCTGAGGTTCTACAAGCGGTGGATTTGAATGTTATATAGCGTAGTATGAATTAAATGGGATTTTTAGGAATGACAATGATGTGCGCAGTACAGCTGGTTGAGGGAGGGACTTTCAAAATAGCAATTAAATGCCAGGTAGCGACATGTCCTCCTAATGTTACTTATTAAGTAATTATTAGATGTTTTAATTGCCTGTATGTTGGCCTGGCGAATTGGCTAGGAATTAACATACCAAGGTAGCATTGCTGATCGTCGCATTCGAGCTATATCACAAAAACTGGTTTTTAGAAAAAACGGCTTTTTTTTTTTTTTTTTATCTATGTCGGACTTACGACCTGGATTTGGGTCCCTAACCCCGTGGAGCACCTGTACTTAAATTATGTTAAATAATTGTTAAAATTACTATAATTTTTCATATGAGACTTTTAAAATTATTGGATACTACAAACTTCTTGATACAGTATTTACTAAAATAGTAAGGAATTTAAGCCCTAGAACCGATTACTGTATTGGTGGACTAATATGACAGCTAGTGTGCAAGCGAAAACATGTTGAGGGGCGCTCATAAGGAATTCGTTAATCAAGGGAATGCTTGTTAACCGAAGTTAAGAATCTTATGGAAGGTAATTCGTAACCGAAATTTCGTTAAATGAAGCGCTCGTTAACCGAGGGATCACTGTACTGTATTTTACACAGGTGTTAGGAATTGGGCCTGATTGAAGGTTTTACCATTATAAGTACTGTATATACTCATGTATAAACTGATCACATATACAGTTTGACCCCTGATTTTTTGGTAAAAAAGCCTGAGTTTTTCATATACTGTACCTCTTGTACATTTTAACCCTAGTTTTTGAAAAATACTTTACTTGGTATAATCCTAGACGTGACCACAACAGCTCACGCTATCAACTGTGTTACCAACTCTGAAATTGAATTCCCGCCAGTGTCCAACTCCTATTTACAAATTTTGCTAGAATCACCCTTAAATGTAGCCGTAACTGTACACTGTAACATTAAAACTTAATTTTTTTATATAAACAGCAGTAAGAAAAGCATAACCATGGCAACACAGCCCCCCAGCCTGCCTCTCTGCCAACCCCTCTGTGCTTAGTGCAGTGGGAGGTGTATAGTATAATAATAGTGGGATATGCCTTTATGATGCTCTCCAATTACTTAATGTTAATTTCTAAGGATATTACTATTTTGTTAATTCAACTTTAATAAAGGTGCTAAAAGTTAAATATTTTATTACCGATGATGTATCGATATACCTGTACAGTACATCATTTCACATATATGTTGCCAAAAATATAGGAAAAATTTTTTCAGTATACAGTACCTGTATGTCAATTGTTTCACATTGCATCATCTGCATCATCCACTGTTTTATACCAAGTTTGTGTGTACCCTAATGTGATGCATAAATAGTGTTAAAAGCACATAATATAATGTAAAAATACCTATAATAAGTAATAAAAGCATCCTATAAATGTTGAGTTTCTACCAAAATATGTCAGGCAACTCACACAACTGGGTGCTAATGCCACAGAATTAGGAGAATAGTCATTTCAATGTCCTAGTGTGCCTTATGAATAAAGAAAATACTGTACTGTATACAGTACTTCCATAGTTGACTCTAATTTTACTGTTACAAATTAAATCAAAATATGACTTGACTTTCACTTCCTTTGCTTCATTAGCTTTCTCAACTTCCCATTCAGGAGAGCTTTCAGACCTTATTCACATTAATTTTGCTTAGGAAGTATGTAACCTTTTTGCATGGTTTTATTATTGATACCTGAAACTACTGTGTTTTGCATGTGAATAGGGATTGGGAGGGGGTAGGAGGTACTTGTCTAGCTAATGATTTATATTGATTAGTACGGTAATAGGCAGCAAAGGGAAATATGAGAATTTTCATTAGCTAGCCTTTGGTTATGCATAATGTATGACAGCATGCAGTGATGTGAGTGATACCACAGAGAGGGAATGATTAAGAATTACTGTATTTTGAAGCCACTGGTGTGACTTTTTATGGCCAAAACTGCAGTGTCAAAAAACTTGTGTTAATGAATATATTAGAATTGGTATGCATCATTGAGGTTTGTTAGAATACATTTTGTTACTTGAACATACAGTAAAAGATGTTAATGGGAAATGGAAGAGGTATGATTATTTATATTGTAATGTCATGGTGATATAAAAATTACTTACAGTGTGAATTTAATAGAATGATTATTGTGTTTTGAATTCCAAAAGGTGTGTGGCATTGATGTTTACAATGATCCAGCCAGACGGGTAGCATCAGCGGTTGGATTTGTGTCATCCATCAATCAGACGCTAACCAGATGGTACTCTCGTATCAGCTTCCAGCATCCTGGTGAAGAAGTAGTACATGGTCTTAAAACATGTCTACTGGAAGCCCTTCGTCATTATTTCAAGGTTAGAATCATCAGAGGGAATTGTTAACAGTGTATGGAGTGAAGAATATTTATAAAAAGGTATAGTATTTATTTTTTAACACATTGAGTTATCATCACCTGATGGCAGCTCTCCATGTTGCATGGTCTCTTGCAGTCTCTTTTGTCAGGTTCCTTACTCTAATGTAATTTTTTATAACCTCTCCCCATGTTATTTTTGGCCTGCCCTTAGCTCCCCTCCTCTTCACATTTAGGCTTATGCATCTGTTGACCCAACTGGTCTCATTCATCCTCTCCACATACCCAAATCATATCAGCTTGTTTCTACTCAGGCCTTCACCAGTACTCTTAATACCCAGCCACCCTCTTAGCTCTGAACAGATCTTCCTGTCTTTTAGTGTCACAATTCTCACACCAGCCACATTCAGTCTTCCTTTCACTCAGAGGGAAGGCCCCTTTGCTATCAATAAAGGCCAGCCACTTTTGACTCCAGCAACTGAGCAGGCTTCAGCACCCACACCAACACTGATCATGTTACCCAGGCAACTGTTGGAAGCTACTATACTAAATAATGTGCCATGAGTGTGGAAGGTGGGCACGCAAAAGGTTCAGTGGTGTAAATGACAGACTAAAGGATCTTGCTGACATTAAGTGTCCTGTATGTATGCAGGTAACCATGTGGCCTTGGCAAGACTGGAGAAACTCAACATTGGGGATATATAGGGGTATTCCTGGTCTGTGTCAGTGAGTTCTGTTACTTAGGTGAAATGAGCAGTGGTGGAGGTGGTGCTGAAGGTAGTTCAGTAGCAAGAGACAGGAATGATTGGAGAAGTTCAGGGGGGTACTGCCTTAATTGATGGCAAAAGGATCATTTTTCCATATGGAAAAATTGAGACAAAACACTGCCGCTCTGTTGTCCATGGCAAACAGAATCGTCATGCTTTTTAAATTTGTGTTTGCCAACAAAAAGAATAGGACTATTGCTAATTCTTTTACATTCATGTGTTTGTCCCAAAGAGAGTTGCTCCACTTCCCTTGACGGAACTCTCCTTTTGAGGAATGGTATCCCCATCCTATTTCGGACGCGTCCATTCAAGCAACCAAGTCTGTTTGAGGGGGAACCCAGGGAGATGAACCGATTAGATTGTCTAAATTTGTCCACCGTGACAAATGATTCTTGATCTCAATAGGGAGAGAAGAAGCAATATTTCTGTTTCTGTGAAGTAATTTCAACCCCAGATGAGTCGGTTGCTTCTTCCTTAACTTGCCCAAAGGAACTACTATGGTGGCAAAATTCAACATACCCAGTAGTTTTTCCCTATCATGCCAAGAAACCACTTGCTTTACACAAAAGGCTTCTACTTGGTTTATCACATTTGCTACTTTTGCTTCTGGTAGACTGACTGACTGCTGATTGGTATCCCAATGTAGACCTAACCAATCCAATTTCCGACATGGGAAGCTAGACGTTGCATTCTGGATTGAACAAAAATGGGGTTTTTACTGTACAGTGGTCCCTCCATTAACAAGCGGTTAATTTTACAAGATTTTGCTTAACAAATAAGCTCCCGTAAGGATTTTCAGTTCTATTAACGAGTGCAACTTCTATTACCTAACGGCAGCCTTATGAGAAACACGCTTTGGTGCGCGCATCAGCTGATTAGCTGATCGGCTCGTCTGCCAATACAGTAATCGGTTCTACTGTATGTTTACATTTGTTTCCAGTGGAGCAAATATCAAGAAAGTTGTGCTCTTGAAAATTTTTGCATTTTTTATATTAAAATTATTGGTCATTCTGAAATTTCGTTAACATATTGATAATATAGAGTACAGGGAACAGTTTTTGTTCGCCCATCAGCTGATCGAATCTCCCACCAACGCTTCTCAGTTTAACTTTGTTTACAATGGAGTAAACATCGAGTTTGTTGGTCACTTGAATATTTTTTGCATTTTTACATTAAAATTATTGGTCATTCAGAAATTTAGTTAACATATTGATAATATACAGTGCAGAAATTAATAAAGAAATACGAAAAGGCATTAGAACCAGTGCACTCTGTAAAGAATATGGCATATCATCATCGACTGCCTCTACAATCAGCTGGTTGCTATGTAAACAAAGCCGAAGGGAATATGACTACAGTATAGTCTCCGTTTACGCGGTCAATTAAACCCGTGGAGATCCGCATAAAACGAGAAACACGTAAACGAAATAACAGAACATATGGGATTAATTGAAATAGAGACTGGGCCGACCCCCAGACTACCGTTTTTCCGACACAATACGTACGTTGTAGTAAAATAACATCTTAATTTTATTATGGTATGCACACACAATTAATATTTAAGAGAAATATCAATAGTATTAGGTTTTTTAACACTTACGTTAGTAGAAGAGATGGCTGGGTACACGGGGATGGGGGGTTGGTTCTGAGGCAGAGGGCAGATTATTGGCCCTCACCTGTATCACTATCCACCACAGAGGCTTGCAGGGCCTCTTTGTCAAACCCCTCAAAGTCCATATCCTCACTATCACTGACTTGGGCTGGCTATGGTGGATGGCGGGTGAAGAACTCGGTAATGTTTTGTTGACTGGGCGACCTAGCGCGCACCTTGCCCGCTTAAATGATGGAATGTACCGCGTAACTAATAATTGGCGTCTGGCCAGGTGCCACGTAAATGACCAACCGCGTAAATCGAGACTATACTGTATACACACCTCAAAGTAAGTTAAAATACAGTATTCTATTTTTTTTTTTATTATTATACAGTATACTGTACAGTACAGTATTGTATTGTATTTTATTTTTATTTAATGTTTTGCTAATTCTATTACTGGTATACAGTACTTTGTGTGTACCTTTTCTGTGAGTTGCAACCAATTACCTAATATCCGATTGAAATAATAGAGTCAGTTAACGAGTGACTGTGGAACCAATTGTGCTCATTAATCGAGGGACCACTGTATTTTTATTTTCGTTTTCACTTCTTGGTTTTTAATATATGTTTACTCAACTTAGTTTTGTTTAATGTTCTTTTGTATGTTTCAGCTGTACCATGTTTTACCTCGGACCATAATCATTTATCGAGATGGAGTAAGTGATGGACAATTAAAGCTTGTTGAAGACCATGAGGTCCCTCAACTGGCAACAGTATTCCATCACTTTGATTCTTATGAGCCCAAGCTGGCTTTTATTGTTGTGCAGAAAAGGATCAATACTAGGATTTTTGCTTCCATGGTGAGTCATTTTAACCCTTTGGGTATGACAGGTCTCTTTGAGCTGAATAAAAATGTTTGGTGTTAGCCAAATGAAATATTAAAAATGGCATCCAGTAGTGAAGGGGTTAAGAAATTTTGTTAAAGTAACTTCCAGGACACACTTTGATTAACTAATTAATAGAAATTACTTGATCTGTTTTACCTATGAAAGTATGTACAGTGAACCCTCGAAGATCCGGACTAAAAGGGGGGACCACTTGCCCAGAAAACCCAATTGTCCGTATCATCCGGCGAGGAATAAATTATATAAGAAACACCAAAAATAGTACAGTACTAATGTAGTGATAAACAAATTACCGTATATGAACCCTGCATTTACATATTATAACATAATAAGAAACATTGTATCATTACTAGAGTGAATGAAATAATATTCCCACAAGCAACGATTGTCTACTCTGTGTTTCCCACCTCCTCGGGCACCTGTGTCAAAGCAACTGATGGATCAAGCAGCACCCACAGGACTAAAATGTTCTTTGCTCTGGTTTGGGAATGTTTCTTAGGGAAACTTCTAGGAGGCTTCTTAGCCCAGAACCCCCAAATTTTTTGTCTGGATTTTCCAAAATCCGGATTTCACGGGTCCGGATCTTCGATGGTTTACTGTAATTAATACTGATATGACAGTTTTATTTTCCATCACTTATACAACATTAATTGTGCCTTGATTTTCGTAGATGTGAATTTTTTTATCAAATGAGAAGGATTGTGTCCATACATTTGATGCTTGTACAGTATTTGTATTGGAAAAATTTGCATTACTGAAGGAGGTACAATATTAGAATTTTAAAGAATCCTTATTGGCAACAGGAGGCTGCAGTCTTAGTAAATAATGAACTTATAATTGGTTCACAGTTATACAGGGAGTAAGACATAGCTGTGTTCTATCTCCAACATTGTATTATATATATTCAGAATTCTTAATGGGGGAAGTTATAAGTGATAATGAAGGCTTAAAAATTAATGGGAAAGTAATATAAAATATATGCTATGCAGATGATATTGCTCTTATCACAGATAGTGAAGAAGTATTAACAGGTTAGTGGAAAAAGGTCTAAAATATTTTGTATACTGTATTTGTGAAGTAACATTAGCTGTAATGATAGATGCATGGAAGAAATCAAAACAAAAATAGGGCAAGCAAAAACAGCCTTTAATAATCTAAAAGACCAAATGAAAAGGGACACGGACTTCAATTTGAGAAAATGACTGCTGAAAGGCTTTATATGGCAAGGACTTTTGTATGGGTCAGAAGTTTGGACACTTTCAGCAGACACCAGAAAGAGGTTGGAGGCCTTTGAAATGTGGTGTTATAGGCGAATGCTAAGAATAAGCTGCACTGACAGGAAAACAAGTGCGGAAGTACTAAGATTAGCAAAAACTTCAGGAGAAATACTTGAAATTTACAGAAAAAAGACGAATGAAATACTTTGGTCATATAATTAGGGTTGAGAGGATAATAACAGAAATATTAATGGGCAAAGTTGAGGGTAGGAGGGCCACAGGAAGGCAGAAACTGGGGTGGATGAAAATGAAAAAAAATGAGCCCCCCAGAGAGATTGGTAAAAACAGCCTGAGAACGTTTAGAGTGGAGGACTGTGGTCGCCAACCCTCAGATATGAGGATGGTACTCTGATTGATTGATACAAGCATAGAGGATGTTGCAACATGCTTAGAGTATTTGATGAATACTGTAATTGACAGCAGTAGTAGGTGGAGAAATAAAAATTAGTGTTTAAGAATCTTATAAAGTTAATGTGAAAGTTGACCACCAAGAAATGGTGTAGTGTGAATGTAAGTGAAGAATACATCTATTGTTGGGAGAAACGTCTTAGTAAATTTTCCAAGTATGCCTGTGGCTCTTTTGGAGAACTGAGGCCAGTGAGTCCAATATCATGTTACACACACACACACGATGAATACAGTAAACCCTCAATATCTGCCATCTCCAAGTTCCTCATTTTTTACTTTAGGGTCTGATATTGCTTACAATATATGTACTGTACTGTACAACTGATTTTACCTGAAATTCTAAAATATGGAATATTTATGTCAGTGGAATCTTGACATTAGTTAAAACAGACCAGGGAATTCATGACTGAGAGTGGTCTGCAACCTCAGAAGTTTGGAATATGTACAATAATATTTCCGTTAGCAAGAGTTCCTCTTAACCGGAACTCTCCGATAGCCAAAATTGAAATTTTCTCGGAATATCATTCCTAAAGCTGGAATTTTCTGGAAATTTACGGCTTTGGAAACGATTTTCCAAGGGGCACATTTTCTGGAAAATTATGAGAAAACTTTCCTTGTACCCGGAAAATTCCGGGGATGGGGGATTTTTATTCCGGGTTTGAGAGATGAAAATCAGGGGCATTTTTTTGGAAACTGATAAAAAAAATCCATTACCCAGAAAATTGCAGAGATGGGGGATTTTTTTCTGGCTTTGAGATGAAATAATGCATCATTATGGAAAATTCTGAAAAAATTACGATACCTGGAAAAATTCATGGGATGGGGGATTTCTTTCTGAGTTCGGGTGATGATGTAAAGCCCAATTTCTGGAACATCCGAGACAATTCAGGGATGAGGGATTTATTCCGGCTTTGAGAGAGTCGTCTTGTTCCCTGGAAATATCTCGTTCCCAGAAGTGCTCTGCACCAATTGTTCTGACTAACGGAGATATCACTGTACAGTACTACTTGAATTTGTGGCAGACACTGAAAAGGCTATAGTGTTAATTTGACTTTAATCCTTTACGTAATTATCCATTTGTTGCTGTTTTTGTCACTTATTTGATAGGGAAGACTTTTTGACTGTATCAAATAGTTTGATACGTACCATACCAAAATGACTGAATGACTCGCTACAAGCAGCTTCTGACCATCCCCTGATGATGCAACTTTTAATCAGTTGTTGTTCACTGTAGTTAAATTATTCATTAATACTTTTGTGATCACTACTAAATTTTTATGGAGATTGTTATATAGAATTTTTACCACTATAAGAGGTTTGTTAACTGTTCATTTTAGAGCTCTAAAAGGTTGGACAATCCTCCTCCAGGCTGTATCATCGACCACACAATCTCTCGATGCCATTGGTATGATTTTCTCCTTGTGTCTCAACAAATAAGACAGGTAAGTTGTGCTTCCACTGTGTTTTTTTTTGTTTCTGATGTCTTCTGGTGGATGCAGAGGAAGGGAATTTATAATGAAAATATGTTGATCTATTGTATTACTGTAAAGTATTTGTCATCAAAAACTCACTTTACAAAATAATTTATATCAGGAAAATTTTAAGCATTCTTCATATGAAATTTAAGAAAATATAAAAATATTCATTTGTTTAATTTTCCATATTTTGCATGAGAGTAAATGAGCAGAAATTGGACAATTAGGAAACTGACTCAGTGGCTCACTGCTTGGTGATGTGAGTGACAAGTCTTCTCGTCTTAACTTAATGTTGAGGAATAAGTAATATAGTGATTGTAGGAGAATGATGACACATTGAAAAATAATCTCAAGGGTTTCAGATTTTCTAATTAATTTTTTTATTATTTTATTAGGGGACAGTATGTCCTACGCACTATATTGTTGTGCACGATGGAACTAAATTGAAGGCGGACAACATGCAGCGGTTGGCTTACAAATTGACATACCTCTATTACAACTGGCCTGGCACCATTCGCGTCCCTGCTCCCTGTCAGGTCAGCATATTAAGTGTCTTCTCCATACCTATTATATTGTAATCCACTTTAATCCTTCCATGAGGACTGTTAGATATATTTGGCAGGAACAAAGTGGGCCTTCAGTGGGCGAGATGGCTTTTTTTTCCATTAGTGGAATTTTCACAATTCCTGCTACTCTCATGGTCTCTCCAGCTAACCATATACAGTGGTCTCTCGGTTAACGAACTCAATTCGTTCCAGAGGGTCGTTCGTTAACCGAAACCATTGTTTCAATGGGATTTGGGGTGATTGGTTCCAGCTCACTGAAAATTACATACAAAGTAAAAAAAAAAAAATGCAGTAAAGTACACTTACTTTGAGGTGTGTATGTAGAAGGCCCCTGGTTGATGATGCTGATATGAATTTGAAGTGAGAGGCACAGGAGAAGAAGGGAGAAGAGAAGGAAGTGAGGGTGGAAGAGAAATCACCCCATGCTTGATGCCGTCATTTCACCAATAAATTTTAAGTTCACTAGGTGTAATTCAAGATTATTTTCTTAAAATCATTACTGCACTGCACTATATATTGTCAATATGTTACATAAATTTCAGAATGACCAATAATTGTACTGTAAAAACGTAAAAATAGTTTATGTTCAAGAGAGCCACAAGCAAGATGTTACCTCCACTGACCAGAGACACAAACAGACTCCTTGGTGGGTGAGTGAAGTGGCTGATGGGCGCACCAAAAACTAGTTCCCTGTACTGCAATTATGTTAAATAAGTGTTAAAATGACTAATAATTTTAATATAAAACTTGGAAAAATATTTAATAGCACAACCTTCTTGATATTTACTCAAATGGGAACGAATTTAAACCATAGAACCGTTTACTGTATTGGAGGACTAATCTACCAGCTGATGAGCAAGCAAAAACATGTTGACATGTTTTCGTAAGAATTTCCTGAACCGAATTCTTTTTTGTTAACTGAATTGAATATTCTTATGGAAGGTAATTCGTTAACCGAGGGACCACTGTACAGTACTGTATAGTAGTATATCACTTCTATGCTTACCACTCAAGACTGATATCACCTCTTGTGAAATCTAGGCTCATATTCATCTCTCCTTTAGTAGCTGAGACCAGCATGGTGGGGATACAGGGTTTTCCTTCCTTACCCATGTGCAGGTTGTTCACACTTATTACAAACAATCTTGTGAATCCATCTGGTTCTTTGTGGCTATCTTCAAGTGATTTCTCACCATTTGTACCTGTGACTGAGAAAGAGAAGTCCCACATCTGTAGTAACACCAAAGCAAAGGAGAAACATTGCAGAAAATTTAAATAAATAATTAAACTCAACTGGGAGGTGAGCCAGATGAGATTGTCTAGTGTTTTCTGTTTCTTTGGAGAGCAAGATTAATGTATCAAATTAAAACTACTTTCATTTTTTTCAGGAGGAAAGAGAAAATACATTTGTAAAACAGGTGATAGGACTTGTGGTGTCTACATATTTCAGTCACTGATTATACTGTACAGTACGAATACATATACTGTACATGTATTCTTTCCATTGAGTAGCTCAGATATAGTATATTCCTTATACAATAATTCACTCAATTATAGTTCTTTAGTGATTCTTTGATTTATTTATCTTTTATCAGAGGTTTTCCATGCTGTACGCCATTCCTTACTTTCCATCAATTGTTACCTTAGTTTTCATCATCAATTGACACAAGGCAACCTCTTCACCATTTGTTTCTACATGTACAGTAATTAATTTGTCTCAAAGCAATAAATACGAGGTGTGATCCAAAAGTTCCCGGACTGGCTTTATAAAATCTTTATTTTTTGAGATAATATACAGTGAAACTTTAGTCACCCTTAAAATATTCTTCAGGGGTCTCAGTACAGTGCTCAATCCCCTCCTCCCATTTCTGGAAGCAGATCTGGAAGTCCTTGTTGGTGAGGCTGGAGAACACCTTCTGCGATGTGTCCTGGATCTCCATTCTGTCCATGATCTTCCTCTTGAGGTTCAATTTGAACTTCGGAAACAGCATGAAGTCACTTGGGACCAGACCTGGAGAGTATGGAGGGTGGGGGGCCACTGGTATGCCATGCTGTTTCCGAAGTTCAAGTTGAACCTCAAGAGGAAGAAGATCATGGACAGAATGGAGATCCAGGACACATCGCAGAAGGTGTTCTCCAGCCTCACCAACAAGGACTTCCAGATCTGCTTCCAGAAGTGGGAGGAGGGGATTGAGCACTGTACTGAGACCTCTGAAGAATATTTTAAGGGTGACTAAAGTTTCACTGTAATATCTTAAAAAATAACGATTTTATGAAGCCAGTCTGGGAACTTTTGGATCACACCTCGTAGATAAGTTTGTAGAATTATATTGCGATTGTTACAGTCTATGTGGTGTAATAGTCAAATTTTGCATATGTAATGAGATATTTTGTCACTTGCATGTGTTTGCTCAAGTATTTTCATTATTTAAAACAATATGTGGAGATAGTAGTTTTGCCATGAGAATTGTCTAAAATGTTGTTTATATTATTTCAGTATGCTCACAAGTTAGCCTACCTCATTGGCCAGAATGTAAGGAAGTCTCCTGCTGTTGAACTGTGTGACAAGCTTTTCTTCTTGTGAGCAATTTTCAGAGTTTATTCCATGCTCATGAGCTGCATAGGCTTTCATATCAACTCTTGGCTTCCATTAAACCTTATATACTGTACATTTTGATGACAATTACTCATTAAATAATAATCATGGAAGATCAAAACTACCCCAGTATCATAAATATTGTTATGAGACTGAAAAAAGTACAGAGTTGTTTATTATCTTTAACCATTTTAATGCAATGGTGAACTTTGGTCTACAACTACTGGGGTATTTATTTACCCTTGAGTGCAACCGTCGACTGTAGTTTACAGTCAGTGAAAAATGTCTCTCCTCCTTCCTCCAGCTAATTTCCATTTTCTTTGAATCCCATGGAGCACACTAGATCCCAGTACATGTTGCCATCTCCAGGCACCCACCGTAAACTAAAATGGATACACGCATCCCCACCAGCTGGTCAGAATGTGGCAATGTAAACAAACCACTCCAACCTTTTTTTTTTTTTTTTTTTTTTTTTAACAATATTACAGACAATTTATCATCATAATAGTCCTTTTGGTTGTATATAGTGTATACAAGGTCTGTCCAAAAAGAAACCGAACTTTTAAAAAACAAATTTATTTCTTTACTTACAACTTAATCAGACTTGTTTCCTTCAAAGTACAGCTCCCCGACTTACGACGGGGTTAGGGACCCAAATCCAGGTCATAAGTCGAAAATGCTTAAATAATACATAGAAAATCTAAAATGGGTGTCTCTTTTTCTTCTCAGCATCACAAAACTCTCACTTTTAAGCTTGCCAGCCATATTTAAGTGAATTACAAACGAAAAAATTTTCTGTGGACTGAAGCTGGGACTCAAAAATACGTAATTTGACAATTTTGGTACAACTGAGGCCGGTCGTAAGTGCGGGTGGTCGTAAGTCGAGTAGGTCGTAAGTCGGAAAGAGCTGTACTTTGAAGGAGACAAGTCTGATTAAGTTGTAAGTAAAGAAATAAATATGTTTTTTAAAAAGTTTGGTTTCTTTTTGGACAGACCTCGTATAATACTGCTTCTTACAACCAGATATAGTGATAATTGTGCAGGTTTTTTGATGACAAATGCTGGCAGGGTACTTCACTTTCTCATGGCAAAATCTCATCACTTGAGTATGGTCATGAAATTGCCATGTGCACTCAAAGGGTTAAAGAAATATTTCTGGAACTTCACATTACTGGAAGTGTTTCATGACAACTCCTAGTAGGTATGTATTGTGTAAACAAATATTGTCTTCGGTTACATAAGTAAAAGATATTCATAAAGTTTTGAGTTACAGGAATCACTAAGGTGCAGGCAACTGATATGACCATGAACTTTGTGAATTTCTATTTACGGTACGGTACCTTCATATCACCAGGAAAGAAAAGCTAGTTCTTTCCAGCATGGTGGAGCATTAAGTTGATGTTATTACCTTCTCTATTGCTACTTTCATTATTTGGGAGAGCTCAAGAGTACTTTTTACGGTATTTTGATTTGATTAATTTCCCTGAAATTTAAGGAATATTCTTTTGTTTTTGTTATTCCTTGGCTAACAATTTTCTAGTAAAAAAATCTCATTGTTTAGTTTCAGTAAGGAACATAGCTTTGTAATTATTTAAGAAAATAGATAATTAAAGTTCTCTTAATTGCAATTGTAGATTTAAGCAACTACAGGGTGCCTATTGTAGATTTAAGCAAGCACATGTGAGCAAAAAAATTGTGATGTAAACAGGTAGGAAAGAGAGAAAATGAGATATGTATGTGAGATTGAATGGTGATAAACAGTCAGAAGTGAAATATTTCAGATATCTGAGAGTGGATGTTATAGCAAATGGGACAGAGAAAGAAAGTAATCAGGACATTAAGATATGTGTGGATTGTGAGAACTGTATCAGAGGAATCATATTTGGGATGTATAGAGGATCTGTTGAACTGCCGTTACTATATAGGAGGAGTGAAGCACGGGCTCAGGATACACGAGGATGAAGCAGATTATAAGTAATAGCGGATGATCGGTTGGATGTGAGAAGGGTTTTTCCAATGTTACCTTACTGAACTCGTCAGGAATAATAGGGAGATTAAAAGAGCCACCGTTATACTAAAGAGGTAAATTAAATTTTACAATATTACATTCATGAAAGCAATACCATATGTGGGATGAATACTGTACGATGCAGAGAAGAAGAGTTACATAAATTGGATGTGGAACTGAAAGAAATGTTGGACAAAGAACTGTCTAGAGTTTGTTGAAGCTGGTGTGGTTATTGTGAAAGAATGGGAAGTGAAATACAGTGGTCCCTCGGTTAACGAGCACAATTCATTCCAGAAGGTTGCTCGTTAACCGAAACCATTGTTTCAATGGGTTTTTGGGTAATTGGTTCCAGCTCACCGAAAATTGCCTAAAGTCAACAAAAAGGTAGTAAAGTACACTTACTTTGAGGTGTGTATGTAGAAGGTTCCTGGATGATGATGATGGGAATTAGAATGGGGGCGAAGGAGAAGAGAAGGCATTGGGGTGGAAGAGAAGTCACCCCATGATGCCATTTCACCCATAAAATTTTAGTTCACTTGGTGTAATTCAAGATTATTTTGTTTAAATCAACACCACTGCATTATATATTGTCAATATGTAAAATAAATTTCAAAATGACCAATAATTTGACTGGAAACACAGAAAAAAAGCGTTTATGTTGAGAGAGTCTGAAGCAAGATGTTACCTCCACTGAAAAGACACAGAGACTGATGCCTGTATGGTGTGTTGACAGGCTGTTTGGCACGCTAAAAACTAGTTTTCCTGTAGTTAAATTATGAAAATAATTGTTAAAATGACTAAAAAATTTAATATAAGACTTAAAATTATTAAATAGTACAAACTTCTTAAAAATTTTAATAGAAGACTTTTAAATTATTGAATAGTACAAACTTCTTGATATTTACTAAAATAGTAAGGAATTTAAGCCCTAGAACCGATTCCTGTATTGGCGGACTAATACGACAGCTAGTGTGCAAGCAAAAACATGTTGAGGGGCGCTCGTAAGGAATTCGTTAATCGAGGGAATGCTCGTTAACCGAAGTTAAGAATCTTATGGAAGGTAATTCGTTAACCGAGGCGCTCGTTAACCGAGGGATCACTGTACTGTATAATTCAGTTGTAGAAAATAAGGGGCCAAGGGGAAGAATAAGATGAAAATGCCAGGATGACATGAGGGTATAAGTGATAAGATATTTGGACATTTGGTGATGTATGGGGATGTTACTTGTACTTTTACTTTTATCCTCTTCACCACTGATCGGCTCGTTAGCCACTCGGGCGATCGGTCACGTCTCTGTCACACACTGTTGGCAAGTACTGGGCATGCACCGGCTCCTGAATGTACCTGAACCTGCTCCAGTTTTGGTCAAGTCTTGTCTTGAAAGAGCTCTCACTCGGTGCCGTCACAACACTTTCTGGTAGATTGTTCCAAGAGTTTACAACCCTCACTCCAAAAAAGTTTGCCCTCACAATATTCTGGACTTGCGGCTTCTTCAATCTTGAGCTGTGACCCCCTTGTGGGGCGAGCGTCCGCCAGCTCCAAGTTAAAGTAAATGGGTGAAAGTTGGAAATTTGTGCCTGTGTAATGATGCCTTAATATTTTTGGTACTTCTGCATTTTTACTTTATTACTGGGGATACAGTATATTTTTTAGCAGCATTAAGGGTTATATTGTACTTTTATACAGACAGCACAGTACAGTACAGTGGTCCCTCAGTTAACAAACGGTTTGGTTAACGAAATTTCGGTTAACGAATTACCTTCCATAAAAATCTTCTAATTCGGTTAACGAACAAAAATTCGATTAACGAAATTCTTACGAACCTCACGTTTTGTTGTGAGCATCAGCTAATGGGCTAGTCTAACAATTCAGTAATCTATTCTATGTTTACATTAATTTCCAGTGAAGTAAATATAAAAAAAGTTGTGCTCTTTAATGTTTTTGCATTTTTTATATTAAAATTATTAGTCATTTTAACATTTATTTAACATATTGATAATATATGCAGTACAGGAAACTAGTTTTTTGTGCGCCCACCAGCAGCTTGACTCAGCCACAAGGCGTCAGTTGGGCTTTGAAAACAGTAGAGTGAAAATCTATTTTGTTGGTGTCTTGAATATTTTTGCATTTTTCAATTGAAATTATTGGTCATTCTGAAATTTAGTTCACATATTGATAATATATAGTGCAGTGCAGTGTTGATTTAAATAAAATAATCTTGAATTACACCTAGTGAACTTAAAATTTATTGGTGAAATGACGGCATCAAGCATGGGTCCCCTAAAAGGTGATTTCTCCTCCATCCCCACTTCCTTCTCTTCTCCCGTCTCCTCCACCCCACTTCTAATTCCCATCATCATCATCAACCAGGAATCTTCTACATACACACCTCAAAGTAAGTTTCCTTTTTTTTTTACTTTTCGGTTAGCAGGAACCACTTACCCAATATCCCATTGAAACAATGGATTCGGTTAATGAACGACCCTCTGGAACGAATTGTGTTCGTTAACTGAGGGACCACTGTATATATAATTCTTAACCTCTTGAACCATGCTTGCCCATAATGTGATTTTATTGTAAATGTACAGTATACAGTACAAGTATATAAATCTAAAAATGGAATTCATTTTTTATTCTTTTGTTGCTTCATGTCGAGTCATGTGACTTTGTGGTTGCATTTTTTTGAGAAAAAATCAGTTTATTTTTTCATAATGTATTATGATACTTAAATTAAAAACTGTATTCTTGTTTATATGTTTTAATACCATTTAATGTTCATTTAATCTTGGTTATCCTGGTGAGAATCTGAAAACAAAATGACAGGCTAAGAAAAAATAATGATAAGCAGGTTAGCCTCTAAAACATGCATTTAAAAAGTTTTTTGAATATTATACAAAGCGAAACTAATTTGACCTTTAGACATTTATTATATATAACCAAACAAAAATAATGCATGAAGCATTCCTATCAAACAATTGTTATTTTATGCTTCAAGTAAAGGAATGCACATGCACCCTGCTGGAAAATTTTTAATTTTTTGTTCACAGTATGTGTATGATATTACAGAAGAGTTTTTAAGTGAGCTGCTTGTTACTTAACATTCCCATAACGTTCACTTGTGGTAAGCTAGTACTTTTGACAATTCCTATGTGTGGGAGAATTATGATGTCATTGGCAAGAGTGACAACTGGTGCCTATGTAATGTATGTGTAACTTTCTATGTCAGGGATTGTTACTTTATTTCTATTTCTATAACCTTTATTATATTTATTTTATTTTATTTATTT